CAATCACCAGGAGATGGTGAGTTCTAGTCCCGCCTTAGGCATGAAAGCAAACTGGGAGGCTTTGGGCCAATCACCAGGAGATGGTGAGTTCTAGTCCCGCCTTAGGCATGAAAGCAAACTGGGAGGCTTTGGGCCAATCACCAGGAGATGGTGAGTTCTAGACCCACCTTGGGCATGGAAGCTGATTGGGTGACTTTGGGCCAATCACCAGGAGACGATGAGTTCTAATCCTGCCCTAGGCATGAAAGCCGGTTGGGTGACTCTGACCAGTCACTCTCTCTCAGCCCAACCCACCTCACACGGTTGTTGTTCTGGGGAAAATCGGAGGAGGAAAGAGTATTAGATATGTTTTCTACCTTGAGTTACTTATGAAAGTAATAAAATCAAATAAATAAACAATACTATGCAGCTACCTTACAACATCCTAAGTTTTAAGGAAGACCTTGATGTAAAGGGAGGCTAGGGCCAGCGGAGGCACAGGCAGCTGTGGCGCCACATGGTTGTGAAGAGAGAACTATAATTACATTATATACGTATAATAATCGTTTATACCCTATATGCGCCGGCAATTCAAGAGCAGTCTGGGAATGCTCGTGTATCATGAATTAATTAGGGCAGGGGTCGCCAACCTTTTGGACCTCAGGGACCACCAAACTCATAATTTTAAATCCCACGGACCAGTAATATGAATTTTGACCAACGGTGGCTTGCTGATGTTTTCTCGGGGTCTCTGCAAAAAACAGCAGAGAGACCCCTGGGAAAATCCCTGAAAAAGTCTGCAGGAAAATTCCCCACCCCTTTATTCCTACCGATTGATCGTTCTTTATTTGGGATTGCGGGATACCGTCTCCAGCTCCGTTCTCAATGGGAGAGAGAGAGAGAGACTTTTGGCTTCATGCAAGGAAAACAGCAGAAGCAGCAGAAGTCTTTCTTTCTCTCCCCAAACTCTGCCAGAAATGAGTCTTTGTGAGACTCGTTGCACCGGCACAGCCTCTTGGAGCAGGTTGTCTTGCAGGGTCCCAAAGACTCATTTCTGGCGGAGTTTGGGGGAGAGAAAGAAAGACTTTGGCTGCTTTCCTTGTGTGCAGCCAAAAGCAGAAGAAGAAAGAAGCGGAAAGAAGCAGCCCGGTGGCCAGGCCAGGCACGTGGGCCGCGTGGGGCAAGTTCCCCCCCCCTGCCCTTTCCCCCATCCCCTCCCTACCTCATGTTGTTCACCATGCAAGCAACGCAGCCTTGTGTTCCCGCAGGCCATGTGGGCAGCGCAATCTTGTGTTCCTGCGCAGCCTGGATTAATTGCTTTGGGGGTGACATTTCTCGTGGACCACTGGTTGGCAACCACTGAATTAGGGCATCCATCGGAACCCTGACAGCGACAGCCTGGGGATACCTGCTGTAACTCTCTTCACTGTCGCGGCTTGGGTCGAGCTGTCTCCTTTCTTTCTTTTCTTATAATTATTTGACAGTCAAGATTTTTTTTTTACTGAATTATAAAGTATTGCAAAATATCGTTGTCTTATCGTTGTTACGGACCTCGACAGATGCAGTGGCAAAACGTGGAGCACGTCGGGGATCAGAGTCCTTACGTGACGTCGGTCATCTTGCACATTAAGCAGAATGTCCCCATCATCCGGGACAACCTGGCCTCCACCCGGAAATATTTCACCCAGTTCTGCATCAAGTTTGCCAAGTGAGTCCCTCGCTCGCCTTCTGGGCTTCCCCAGCAACACAAAGCCAATACCTCGTCCCAATAAAAACCCTTTTATTTATTTTAAATTTAATTCCTCTCCAGCAAAGCCTTTCAAGAGAATTCCCAGTTACAGACCTTTGGAGAGTTGCCAGGCCATTTATCTTTTAGACGCCACACTGAAGCAGGCAAGAAGGCAGGAACAGATCTTCGTCCCAATGAACTAATTGTCTCCTGCAAAACACCTTTCGCTTCTCTTTTATTCCCTATGGGAGGGGCCCTTTACCGTCCACCTTTAGTGGCTTTACTCCCGAGTCAACCCTTGTTCCTTAGCTGTTCCCTTCTCCGGGCAGCTCTGTGCATGCGCACACTGGGAACAGGCTCCAGCTGTTCTTCTGCCTCACTGATCTCCGACTCCGAAGGCAGCTGATAACTGTCAGATGCCCCCGGCCCTGGGGAATTCTAGGAGTTGAAGTCCACTCACTTTGCAGTGGACAAGACTGAAAAATACTGGATGAGAGAAATCTCTTTTTCCTTTAAGCTTCATGGAAAAGCTTAAATTTGTTCCCTCCTTTCTTGCAGCTGTTTCATCCCCAAGTTTATTAACCACCTTTTCAAGTGCAAGCCGATCAGCATGGTGGGGGCCGAACAGGTGAGTGTGATTGGACACACAAGGAATTTGTCTTGGTGCAAATGCTCTCAGTGCACATAAAAGAAAAGAGACATTCGTTAAGCATCAAGAATCAATAATACTACTATTATTACTACTAGGGATCTCTGATAAACATTTACCTAAAAAGATGAAATATGTAACAATTCATATACTAACTGCGGCCAGATTAGCATTCGCCCAGTGCTGGAAATCATCCTATATACCTGCAGAACAAATGGTCATCCAGAAAATATGTGACTGTGCAGAAATGGACAAATTAACTATAGCACTTAAAAATAAAGAGTCTTCAACATTTTATGATAATTGGAACTCGTGGTATAATTGGTTATTTCAGAGATAAACTGCTTAATGAACAATGGGTAATTTAAGCATAGATATTGACAAGATGTGTGTATTTAAAGTAAGGTAGGAGAATTGGATCTTGCAGACTGTCAAAAAGGATATCTGTCTGTTTTTAAATGTATTTTCTTTTCTCTTCCGTTTCTTTGTTTCTTTCTTTCTTTTATATCTCTTTTTCTCTTCTTTTTTCGGTTCGTAAGACCGAGCGTTTTTTTTTCTTTTTTTCTTTTTCTCCCCCTTTTGTATATGTAATGTCGATATGTTTTTAATTGTAAACTCAATAAAATTTATTTAAAAAAAAAAAGAATCAAGAATCACAACGTACAACACTTCATGATAGTCATAGGGTACAATCAGCAATCAAATCCTACTAGGAAACAGTCAGTATAAATCGTAAGGATACAAGTGACAAAGTTACAGTCCTACAATCCCAAGTGGGAGGGGATGGGCGATAAGGAGTGATGAGAAGATTAACAGTAATAGATTCTGTGCACAAGAAATATGCACCAACCGACACACTGTATAATGGAAAGAAGGTTTTATTTGCTGTGTTATGTTTGTTGTTAAAAAAAAAACTTGATTAGGGTTTGCTTGTATTTGATTAGGGAGATTGTAGGTGCATCAAGAGAAACTCCTAGGGTTGAATTAAATCAGCCTGGCATCTCAGGCCAGGTTGGTGCTGGGACGACGTCACCACGAAAGCTTTGGGTGGCTCATCCAAAATTTGTTGACAATCCTGGGTGTTGAAGTCCAACCCACTTAATGTTGCGAAAGCTGAGAAACACCGTGAAAAGCTATAATACAGGTAGTCCTCCGCTTACAACCGTTCACTCAGAAGTTACAACGGCACTGCAGAAAGTTACTTATGACCGTTTTTCATACTTAACGACCATCGCAACACCCATGTGGTCACGGGATCAAAATTCAGATCCCTGGCAACGGACTCGTATTTACGACGGTCGCCATGTCCTGGTGGGTCATGCAATCTCCTTTTGCGACCTTCCAACAAGCAAAGATTCTCTTAACAACTGTGTGACTAACTTAGCAACAGCGGTGATTCACTTAAAGGCGGCGACCAGAAAGATCGTAAAGTGGGGGCGAAACTCACTTTACCAACTATCTTGCTTAGCCACAGAAGTTTTGGGCTGAATTGCGGTCGTAAGTCGAGGAACTACCTGCATCAAATTCACCTCGAAATCCTGCTTACACACTCAGACAAGATAAAAGTCAAGACCAAAAGTTTTGGCAGAAAATTCAGAAATGGTTAGAAGAGATGTGTAAGATTAAAATAGAATTCAGACCTGAAATTTTCTCGTTAGGAATTAATGTGGGAAAATATGATAAAGATATGATATACCTAATAATTCATGTAATTACTGCTGCAAGATCGGCCTATGCACAACAGTGGAAATGCAAAGAAACTCCAAGTGAAATAGAAGTAATCAGGAAAACTGGGATGTGTGCAGAAATGGACAAATTGGCAAAAGAATTAAAAAATGAGGATGAATCGGATTATTACGAAATATGGGATAAGTTTTATTGTTGGTTAGAAAAGAGGGAGGATCAAGATAATAAGAAATGATTACATGTATATAATATATATTATGTATATAGAATGTAAATATGTACTATTTTTATATGTGACTTAGCAGTGTAAGACAACTATGTGGGTTGGAGGATTGCACCATGTTCATTGTTTTTAATGTTCTTTTCTTTTTTAGTGTGTTTGTCTAATAAAAAATTATTTTTTTAAAAAAAGATAAAAGTCAGAGGTATGGTAGGGATTTAAACCGACACTATCTAGATCTGGCTACCTGTTGAAAGAGGGTGTATCACCTCTCATCTAAGTATTCCTTCTTTTATTTAACTTAAAAGATAGTGAAAAGCACTTTCGGTTTCCCAACAGCTAGCTATATTTATAATCTCTTAATAGTTTTACTATCCACATTGATCTGTGCATGTACAGGCACCCGGGGCTGTGGCTTACAAGTACAGGAGACAAAGAATGTTCTTTTTTTTCTTTTCTTATTGCATTCCAAAGTTTCTTTTTTATTAGTCAAGTTTTTTATTGTATTTTATATTGCTTATACATATCGATGCGTGAACCTGAACATCTAGTAAAACCACACCTAGAGTCCTGCATCCAGTTTTGGTCACCACACTATAAAAAAGATATTGAGACTCTAGAAAAAGTACAGAAAAGAGCAACCAGGATGATTAGGGGACTGGAGACTAAAACATACAACAAACGGTTGCAGGAACTGGGCCTGGCTGGTCTAGGGGAGAGAAGGACCAGGGGAGACAGGAGAGCCGTCTTCCAATATTTGAGGGGCTGCCACAGAGAGGAAAGGGTCAAGCTATTTTCTAAAGCACCCGAAGGCCAGACAAGGAATAATGAATGGAAACTGAACAAGGAGAGATTCAACCTGGAGATAAGGAGAAATTTTCTGACAATGAGAACAATCAACCAATGGAACAGAAGTTGCCCTCAGAAGTTGTGGGAGCGCCATCACTGGAGGCTTTCAAGAAGAGATTGGATTCCCATCTGTCAGCAAAGGTGTAGGGTCTCCTGCTCGGGCAGGGGATTAGACTAGATGACCTACAAGGTCCCTTCCAACTCTGTTAATCTGAATCTATCTAAGATAATCAAAGGCCTGGAGACTAAAATGAATGAATGAATACAATGAAATGAATACAATGAATGGTTGCAGGAACTGGGCCTGGCTAGTCTAGTGAAGAGAAGGACCAGGGCAGACAATGATAGCAGTATTCCAGTATTTGAGGGGCTGCCACAGAGAGGAGGAAGGGGTCAAGCTATT